CCTCGCAGATGGAGCAATGGTGACAGCACACTTTTAACTGAGGCAGGGGAAGGGGTGCTTATCCCTGACACTGGTCGCCCCTGCTGCTGTGTCATTCCCCTATTGGTGAGGCTTGGGCAGCACAGTCTAAGCTAATTCCAATTGGCTTTTCTAAAGAGAGCAGGGTATGAGCCAGAGAGGTGGGGTGAGCAGTTTCGGCAGGAAAGACACTTACGGAACAGGTAACTAAAGGTGACTCAGATGGAGCAGGTGACCAGGACAAGTCAGGACGGACCAGGGTGACTCAGGAAGGAGCAGGTGACCAAGGGTGACTCAGGGCAGGGCAGGTGAACTCCTGATTAAAGCTGGTGGGAAGGTTGTTTACTGAGACCAGGGGTGAGGGGATGAATGAGGAAATTAAACTTTCAAATGAAGAACAAGGATACTGAACATACTGACATACTGATTCTTTGAAGAGAAACTTAGAACTCAGTGTGTTTAACAGGGGCTTGGAGGTTCATTTGTTTGGTTTTTGAGATGGAATTTTGCTCTCTCGCCAGGCTGGAGTGCAGTGGTGCGATCTCGGCTCACTGCAACCTCCACCTTCCAAGTTGAAGCAATTCTCCTGCCTCAGCCTCCAGAGTAGCTGGGACTACAGGCGCCCACCACCACACCGGGCTAATTAGGGGCCAGGGATTTCAAGAGCTGTGGAGTGGCTGAGGTGTAAGGGTCACTGATGAGGTGAAGTCTTGGAAGAGGGAGATAAGGTGACCGCATTCTCATGCTGATTTTGCTCCTCTGTGGGGGTCTTCACACTGGTTGGCAGCAGCCGGAATTCGGGATCTGAAAAACATTTTTTTCTGGAGACAGGGTGTCCTTCTGTTGCCCAGGCTGGAGTGCAGTGGTGCAAACAGCTCACGGCAGCGTTGGCCTACTGGGCAAACCTGATCCTCTTATTTCAGAATCCAAAGTAGCTGGGACTTGTGAAAGGAAAATCATGGGAACCCAAAATACTAAACCAAAGGGAAAAGTCAGGCGGGGACCTGCTCAGGACAGACCCACCTCCCATTCCATTCAAAATCATTCCTCTGCTCACTGAGATAGTGCATATCTGATTGCTTCCTCTGGAAAGGCTTATCAGAAACTCAAGGGAGGTGGGCAAGGTGGCTCACGCCTGCAGCACTTTGGGCGGCCAAGGCTGGCGGATTACCTGAGGTCTGGAGTTCAAGACCAGCCTGGCCAGCCTGGTGAAATTTTGTCTTTACTAAAAATACAAAATATCAGCTGGGTGCAGTGGCATGCACCTGTAAACCCAGCTACTCTGGAGGCTGAGGCAGGAGAATCACTTGAACCCAGGAGGTGGAGGTTGCAGTGAGCCAAGATCACATCACTACACTCCAGCCTGGGCTACAGAGCAAGGCTTTGTCTCAGAAAAAAAAAAAAAAAAAGGAAACGCAAATGAATGCAACCGTTTGTAGCCATTTTTTTCTCACCTATCTGTGACTTGGAAGCCCCTCCCTGTTTCAGGTTGTCTCACCTTTCTGGATGAAACCAATGTACTTCTTTTTTTTTTTTTTTTTGAGATGGAGTAGCACTCTTGTTGCCCAGGCTGGCGTGATATTGGCTCACTGCAACCTCCGCCTCCAGAGTTCAAGTGATTCTCCTGCCTCGGCCTCCCGAGTAGCTGGGACTACAGGTATGTGCCACCACGCCTGGCTAATTTTTGTATTTTTAGTAGCGATGGGGTTTCACATGTTGGCCATGCTGGTCTTGAACTCCTGACCTCAAGTGATCTACCTGCCTTAGCCTCCTGAAGTGCTCGGATTACAGGCTTGAGCCACTGTGCCCAGCCAAGAGCCACTGTACTTCCTACACACACTGATTGATGACTCCAGTCTCCCTAAAATGTATAAAACCAAGCGGTGTCCCGGCCACTGTAGAGGCGGGGTTTCACCATGATGGTTGGGTGGGTCTCAAACTCCTGACCTTGTGATCTGCCTTCTTCGGCCCCCAAAGTGCTGGGTTTATAGGCGTGAGCCACTGCACCTGGCCACAGCTGACTTTGGAGCTGGGGTAAGGGTCCACCTTCACTCTACTGCAGAGGCCCATCTTCCTTGGGGGAATTGGGCCCTGGAGCAGCGGCCTCTGCTCTCAAAACCCGGTGCGCAGAGCCTGGCCCCAGCAGGGCCCGGAAAGGGCACCCAGTGGACTGGAGGTCCCGCCCTACGGCAGGCAGCTCCTCGTCACACTTCCTGCTCCCTCCCGAGGGGACAGGGGCAAGGGTGGCGCGTACCTGGCACAGTCAGCCACAAGCCTTGTGCGGGTTGTCACAGTTACTGATTCGAACCCCCACCCTCTCCAAGCCTCAGCTCCTCCTTTGTACCCAGGGAGCTGGACCCAGCAAGTGCCCTCTCCTTGAAAACATGTGTGCCAGGTGCAGGCTGCTCAAAGAACACTTCTGGACTGAAGTCGCCCAACTGAGGGAGCCTCTTCCCTCCCCAACCGGCTCCATGCCCCTCACCCCCACCCACCACAGGCTCCCCAGTCCCCAGCCCGATCCCGGTACCACTTTCCACCAGGCAGGAATTCTCTGAGTGCCTGAGCGCTCAATCCCTCCCACACACACAGGGCCTCATCTTGCTTCTCCTATTCCACAACCTTCTATGGCTCCTGTGGCCCACAGCATCAGGCCCAGGTCCTCCCCAGCCACACACCACATCCGTCCAGTCAGCCTCCCAAAGTGCCCCCCCCAACTCATGACCCTGCAAGACCCCCCACCTCGCCAGCCCTGCCCCCTCTGTGCCTGAGGCTGGAGCAGGTCTGCCCAGGCCATGGCTCCTCCTGGCTTTTCTCTGGCCACGGCCTTTACTGGCCGACGCCTTCCCACACAGCCCTGTGCCAGCAACTTCGCCAGAAAGATGGCATTGGAAACTTAGCCCATGCCAGGAAGCCCAGCAGCCATATCCCTCCACCAGGTTCACCCAAGGTACTGGTTAAGAATGCAGATTTCAGCCGGGCGCGGTGGCTTACGCCTGTAATCCCAGCACTTTGGGAGGCGGAGGTGGGTGGATCACGAGGTCAAGAGATCGAGACCATCCTGGCCAACATGGTGAAACCCCATCTCTACTAAAAACACAAAAAATTAGCCAGGCATGGTGGCACATGCCTGTAATCCTGGCTACTTGGGTGGCTGAGGCAGCAGAATCACTTGAACCCAGGAGGCGGAGGTTGCGTTGAGCCAAGACTGCCCCATTGCACTCCAGCCTGGGCAACAAGAGCAAAACTCTGTCTCAGAAAAAAAAAAAGAATGCAGATTTCAGCCGGGCAGGCGGGAGGCTCTGTAATCCCAGCACTTTGGGAGGCCAAGGTGGGTGGATCACTTGAGGTCAGGAATTCAAGACCAGCCTGGGCAACATGACAAAACCACATCGCTACTTAAAATACAAAAATTAGCTGGGCATGGAGATGGGCGCCTGTAATTCCAGCTACTCGGGAGGCTGAGACAGGAGAATCCCTTGAACCCGGGAGGTAGAGGTTGCAGTGAGTCGAAATCATGCCACTGCACTCCAGCCTGGACTACAGAGTGAGACTCCGTAAAAAAAAAAAAAAAGCAGAAAGCAGATACTCAGGATTTCAGAGCTGGGGCTGGGAGAACAGGCATCTAGACAGGCCGCAGAGGCTCTGAGCCCGGGAGGTGTGGCCCAGCCAGGCCCACACTGGTCTCGGTGGGACAGGGCTATGTGTGGCTCCTGGGGCCTGGAGTCTGAGGGAGGCTGCCCTGGACCCCCATCCTGGAGGCTGTGACTCCTGGGTGGGCGGCTCAGGTAGGAGGCAGCCTGGGCAGGCCCAGGGCTCACAGCCACCCCTCCTGCTGCTGGTCTATGCCAGGAAGCACCAGCTGGGGACCCCACAGAAGGCGGTGGGAGGAATGAGTGAGGGAGGGAATGAGTGAATGAGGGAGGGAGAGAATGAATGAGTGAAGGAGGGAGGGAATGAATGAATGAGGGTGGGAATGAGTGAGGGAGGAAATGAGTTGAGGAAGCGAAGGAATGAATGAGTAAAGGAACGAATGAATGAATGAGTGAGGGAGGGAGGGAATGAGTGAGTGAGGGAGGTAATGAATGAATGCGGTCATTCCCCGTGGTCCCCAAGCGCCCGGACACAGTGACCTTGGCAGCGACCCCGCCGTCGGTGAAATGGGGGCGGGGGGGCCGGGAGAGCCCCGGCGCCAGCACAGCCGCGCGTTGGTGGAGCGTCCAGCGCGCTCGCGGGGCCCCGGTCCCCGGTGTTGGCACGGGGATAGGAGTGGGGGTGGGGCCCGGAAGCGCCCCTCCCCCACGGGCCCGCCCCGCCCCCGCCGCTCTTAGGCCCCGCGCCCCGCCCCCGCCCAGGGCCCGCCCCCAGGTTAGGGAACATCCTCACTTCTCCTCCCGTCGGTCATGCTCGCATTCGGCTTTTTGTACCAGGTCAGCTCATTGGGCGGATGAGAAGATTTCCCCGCCCACTGCCCCGAACTGGCCAATTGCAAGGGGTTTCACAGGGCGCTGAACTAGCGGGAGCGTCACCGTCCTGCGACGCTTCAGGGGATCCTTAGGCCTCAGTGGTCTTTGCCCTCCGACCCCAGGCCCTGACCCCAAGGAAACCTCCGGGACCTGTTCCTGGACAGGTGATCGCCGGGTATCCGGGGAGCTTTTGGAATTCTTGGCCTCTTTTTGCACCCGCTGCTCGCCGGCGTGTCCTCGGGTGGACGCGGGCGCCCCGAAGGCGAGTTTGCAGACGCTCCCTCACATCGGGGACGCGGCTCCTTTAAGGGTGTAGGTGTCCAGGGCGCCGCCTGACTGGAAAGTCGCCCCCCGACCGGGCTCCTGGGGCGGACCCGGGTCGCGGGCGCGCGGCGGCGGGGCGCGGGCGGCGGGGGGCGCGTGGTGGCGCGGGCAGCACTCGGGGCGGGACAGCGTTGGCGGCGCGTGAGGCAGGCGTGCGGAGGGCAGCCCCGCGCCAGGCCCCGCCCCGCGCGCCCCGCCCGCTCCAGGGTCCTCGGAGCTGCTCGGGCTGCGCGCGGAGCGGGCTCCGGAGGGAAGTCCCGAGACAAAGGGAAGCGCCGCCGCCGCCGCCCCGCTCGGTCCTCCGCCTGTCCGCGACGCTCGCCGGGGCCGCGGCCGCCCGAGGGACTCTGAACATGTCGGGGATCGCCCTCAGCAGACTCGCCCAGGAGAGGAAAGCGTGGAGAAAAGACCACCCGTTTGGTTTCATGGCTGTCCCAACAAAAAATCCCGATGGCACGATGAACCTCATGAACTGGGAGTGCGCCATTCCAGGAAAGAAAGGGACTCCGTGGGAAGGAGGCTTGTTTAAACTGCGGATGCTTTTCAAAGATGACTATCCATCTTCACCACCGAAATGTAAATTTGAACCACCGTTATTTCACCCAAATGTGTACCCTTCGGGGACAGTGTGCCTGTCCATCTTAGAGGAGGACAAGGACTGGAGGCCAGCCNGAGCCGGGCCCCGCGTCGCGGCCGAGCTTCCCCGAGAGCCCGAGAGGCCCCGCGCCCGACGCCGGCCCGGCCCGCGCTGCTGGCGCCGCGGGGCTGTGGCCCGAGCGCCCGGTTCGCCGCAGGCCTTCGGGGCCGGGGCTCCCCCACTTCGCCCTCGAGGTGCGCCTGGCGCGGGGCCGGGGCAGCCACCTGCAGCCGGGGCCCCGCGAGGCCGCGCCTTCCTCCTGCGCGGCGAGCGGCTTCCGGGGTCACGGTCGCCCCGCGGCCGGCGAGGATTGCAACATCGCTGACTCGCGGGGGTGGGGGCCGGGAGCGGGCGGGTGTCGGGAGCGGGCGGGTGTTCGGGGCCTGCAAACCAGAACACGTCCAAGTTTTCTCGCGCCTCTGAAGATGCTCCGCTGGCGCCGGCCGGGGCCCGGGACCTGAGCGCCTCGCCGGAGGGAGTTTTGTTCTGTCTCGGGGCTCGCTTTGGACCAGCCGAGTAGTGGTTGGCTCTGGTAGTTGGGGGCGTAGGAGGCAGGTACGGGAGTGATGAGCTGGGCTTGTGATCGTGGCCTGTAGTCGCGCGTGGAGCGCAGAACAAAGTGGTTTGGTTTGTATAACTGGGAGTCACCTTAGTTTCTCTGCAGAGTGCCTGTCTTTGGGGGTTTTGTTTGTTTTCTTTGTAGGACCTACCGCACCTGTTTCTTGCTCTTAAAGAAACGTTGCCTTTGGGTAGAGAACCTAGCTAGGATAAGACGGGACGGATCCTCGGTTTGCCCTGATGGCTCACGCAGAGGTCCCTTCCCTAGGCCGTTGGGTGATTGCGAGTGTGCGCTTGTGTGGCGTCCCAGGGTTTGGGATCTTGCTGCGGAAACAGCCTGGGGGGCCTGGGTCAGACAGATCAGGTGCGGCCAGGTGAGCATCTCCCGACTGCAGGTGCCCGGGTCGTGCAGAAGGGAATACCTTCCCGGGCCTGGGAGAGTGTGCGTTTGGGTGCAGGAGGACTTTTGAGTGCTTCAGGTGCCAGCCTGTCGTGGCGCCCACCTGTTCTGGTGATGAGTGCGGTGGAGCTGTGGGAGGCGAGCGCTTTGTTCACTCTCAGCCAGGAAGTTGCCAGGTGGTGATCGGACATGCTCAAGCTCAGCCCTGTGCGTGTGCCCTGTGGGAGGGCAGGCGGCAGACTTTCAGGCAGCTCCTGGAGTGCCTGGCCCAGAGGTCCCGTTGCTGCCGGTGTCTGGGCCTCGCCTGGCGCTGACAGAAGAGCGTTGTTTTTGTCTTTGTAGCATAAAAGTTTCCTGCTTTGAAGCGTTTAGTGACTCCTGGCTGTTCACTAAGTGTCTATATGTTAGTTGGGGAGGGTGGATTCAGTTTTCAGTGGGATTTTGAATGCTGGGTCTCTGTTGTGATTACATTGTAACAGATTGGTCACTTTCTCTGGTAGGCAGGCCAGCAGGAGGGGGAGCAGGGATCTTGGAGGCCAGGCCTGGCTTCTGCCTAGGATGGGGTGGGTGTACACCTGTGGCTCCGTGCCCTGATGGTAGTGTGTCCTGTACGACCACCCCCGGTGCCGAGTGCTTTGGGGCTGGGGGCACAGCAGCAGCAGCAGCCGCCAGGCCTTGGCAGGAGGTCTGGCAGGACCACCCCTCACGACTTCTCACACCTGAGGCGGCAATAGCTGGGTGCTGAGCGGGGCCTCTGGGCAGCCCTGTCCAGTCCTCAGCAGGAGGGCCACCTGTGGCAGAGTCCCAGGCCCGCCGGCCTCTCCATGGCCTGGCCTTGCCTGGCTGTGAGCATTGGTGCCCATGGTCCTTCAGTGTCTGGAGCACTGGTCTAGGGCTTCAGAGGCCTGTCTGATGCCTGGCCCCGCTCAGACCATGGGCACCTGGGAGCTGGCGCCTCCGTGAAACGGCCACTCGCCAGGCTGCTTTGCACTGCACCGGGCACAGGTTGCAGCCACTCAGAGAGTCCTCCCTGGGGCTGGGGAAGCAAGAGCCCGAGTCCCCAGTCTGCCGGCACCAAGGTGGAGCTGGGCTGCTCCATGCGGAAGAGCCACTGGAAGGGGAAGGCGGAGAAACGTGGGGTTTCAGACCCTAGCCAGTGCAGAGAGAACCTTGAAGCCATGGTTGGCGGGCACTCCAGCCTGCTCGGGGCTCATACTCCACCTGCCCCCAGCTCGGCCCAGCTGTGTCCTCCCCCACTTTCTCCCGACTTAGAGGAGGGCGTGGGGAAGGCCAGGCGGTCAGGAGGGCAGGTGGCCTGTGGGCCCTCTGCGTCTCGGTGAGGAGGATGTGGGGAAGGACATCCCGGTGGGGCCCAGTCCGTGGCCTCCTCCAGCCCAGGCTGCCTGTCTTGGAGGTAGTCGTGGATCTGGAGGCCAGGGCCCGGTGGCCCTGTCACCCTCTCGTGGTGACACCAGCAACTGCTGACTGTAGGACCCAGGTTCCTCTGTCTGCTTTTTCTCGGACTACCATGAGAATCCGTGTTTGATGAAAATGAACCAAATCCCCCTGCAGGGCACGCGGCTCTAGCAGCCCCGCCCCGCTTCCGGAACCCTGGTGCTCTGGCAACGCTGGACCTGCCTGGGCTTCTTAGACCCCAGCCCCCACACCTCTACTTTGCTGACTCAGGGAAAGTCATCGTGCTGCCCAAAACCTGAGTGCAGGCCTCGGAGCTCCTTCCTCAGTGGGTCTGCTGGGGCCTGGGCCTCACCTCCCTGATGACTGCCAGGTGGGGCTGCTGCGGCTGTGGCCCCGGTGGAGTGCTGGCCTGGCCCTTCCTGCGGCTGTGAGGTGTGTAGGGTGCGTGGGCCCACGGGTGCGGACGCCATCCAGGTCACCAGGGCCCTTGTGCCCATTCTAGGACAGCCCATGTTGTAGTCGGGATGGCCCCCCTACAGTGTAGAAGGCCTGGCGGAGTCCCTAGCTCCTCAGAGGTGCCCCTCTTTGGTGTTGAAATACCAGACTTGGGGGCAGCTTCAGCGTTCCCGTGGACGTTGATGACCAGCACACACTTAGGTTTCTATTCTCCAGCAAGTTTTGTAAACAGAGTGTTGTTTTTTGTTGAGTAAAGGTGGCCACTGGAAGGGTGACAGTTGAGGTGGTGTTGAGGCTGCTGGCCCTGCCCGCCAGTGTCCTCAGCGCCAGGAGCATCTCCCTGGACCCGCAGCCCTCCTGCGGCGACAGTGTGGCCCAGCAGGCTCCTGCCTAGACCCGTAAGGCGAAGGTGCCCGGCCCCTAAGGTCCCTCCAGATGTGTGGAGCTGGAATCTGGCCTGCGCACTGCTTCCTCTGACCGGGGATCTGGTCCCCTACGCCGTGCTCCTGCTCTGCCCCGCAGGACCCGGCTGTCCGCTGAAGCCACAGGGATGTGGTCATGGCTGCAGGGTCTGGGAAGGGTGGCCCTGCGGAGGTGCCTCCCTCAGCAAGTCTGAGCCTCTGTCCTGTGGTACTGGTTCCGTCCTGTCTTCAAGAATAACAGGTGTCCACTGGCCGGGCGTGTGTCTCAGTTCTGAGCGCCTGATGCTAAGGCAGGAACCCAGTACCCCACACACACCTGGGGACCCAGCCATGCCAGCCACTACAGGGTGGTAGCTACCACCTAGCCTCTGACTGTGTGTTTCGTCCCCATGGAGCGGAGGTCACATCGTGTCCCACTGATGGGGGCATGGTGGGGGTGGCCACAGGGAAGGGATCTTACCTGCCCCCCACCCCCCACCCCCGCGGGTGATCTGGGAGCCACTCACAGGGCCTCCTCGATGGACCCCAGGGTCGGACAGTGGCTTGCAGAAGAGTCCTGCTGGGCTGGGCCAGCGCGTGTTGGGAGCAGGCCTGACAGGCCGGTGTGCGCGTGATGGGCAGAGGAGCCCGGGCCTCTCCTGACCGCCTGCTCTGCCTCCTGTGTTGCAGGGACTCTGAACATGTCGGGGATCGCCCTCAGCAGACTCGCCCAGGAGAGGAAAGCGTGGAGAAAAGACCACCCGTTTGTAAGGAGAGCTCCGTGTCCGCATGCAGCACGCTGGGCGGTCTGCCCGGCTTGACATCGTCCTGTCCCTGCCGGGAGGGAGCCGGTCACGTGCTGTGCCGGGCCGCTGGGACTCGCAGGCGGGTTCTCGGTGATTTTGGTGAAATGAGATGCCACTGCGCTGATGTGCTTTTGTGGTTGTTTTCTCTCAGGGTTTCGTGGCTGTCCCAACAAAAAATCCCGATGGCACGATGAACCTCATGAACTGGGAGTGCGCCATTCCAGGAAAGAAAGGGGTAAGAGGCGCGCTGCCGGCCTCCTGCCTGGCCGGGCCCAGCAGATGCGTGTGGCAGCACCATGGGGAAACTCCACTCAGATCCTTGCCGTCCGTGACAGCTGTCCTTGTCACAGGCTGCGGTCAACAGGTCAAATCCCAGCTCTGTCCTGACCCCGCCCCATCGGGACGTGAACGCAGAAGGTGGGACTGGCAAGGTTTGACAGCTGTGATCCCCTCCCAGGACAGTTCCGGTTGAGAAGGAAGCAGGCTGGCACCTGGCCGGGCACAAAGCTGAGCTGTGGCAGCAGGGAGGGGGCTCTGCACAGAGCTGCATGGGCGAGGTTGAGAGCAGGCCGAGGCAGGAGGGGCGCTGTTGTGTCCTTCGGGGTGTGGCTCCGCTCTCAGGAGATGGGTTTGGCGGGGGGGCCAGCCCTGTGTAAAGCCACCTCCTCGAGACCCCCCGGGACCGGCGGCATCTGCCTGGGCGGCCTGCTTGGGGACCCCTGTGTGTCCCTGGCAGGAAGGGCAGCCCATGTGCCTGTCCTCTTTGGCCGGCGCACGTGAAGCACCTGGCCGGGGACTGCAGGCTGGGATGCATGTACAGTTCATGCTTGTTAATTCTGAAGGAAGCAGAGAGATCCCTGAGGTTCTGGTCCTGCCTAAGGCCTCGTTCCCTCCGGCCCGGGCACCCCTCTGCGTTTCACTGTGAAACTCAAAGCAGCTCTGGTCCCCTGAACTGAGCAGTCCCCTCAGGACTCTGCTTTGCCGGAGACATAGTGTGGCTTGGGTTTGTTATTTGTCCAAGGCTCTGCTGAGAACGTACTTGCCCCTCACGTTAGGGCGAGGCTGGTGCATGGCGCCGCGGAAGGCAGAAGGTGGTGTGGGGTTGTGGGGTGTCAGAGGCGCCTCATCCAGGCGGGACGGGGTGGGTGCTTGGGCACACCCCTGGGGTGAGGGCAAGGTGTGCTCTTGGTGCCCTCGTGCCAGCCCCAGTATGCGGCGCTAATCCCCCCCCGCCAGCCTGGCCCCCGCCTCCCGCCTCCACTCCTTTCCAGGAGGGCCTTTCCGACTCACTCTCTGAGCACGGCAGAGGTCCTGACAGCCGTCTTGGTGAGGCTATTCGAGCTTCAGGCTGGTTTAGGAGCTGCCTCTGTTGGGCCTCTGGCCCCTGGTGTCCTGGGGGTTGTGCCCTAGAAGCGAGCCCCTTCCTCCTGGGCCGCCCTGCGGCAGGCGAGCAGCCCATCTCACCATGGTTTATTTCCCTGCAGACTCCGTGGGAAGGAGGCTTGTTTAAACTGCGGATGCTTTTCAAAGATGACTATCCATCTTCACCACCGAAATGTAAGTAGCTCGTCATTCAGTGCCCTGGAAGGCACCCCTGGCTGTGGCCATGGCGCCCTGGGCCGGGTGGTTTGCGCGGAGCCGGGAGGGAGATCACAGACCTGGAGGTCGGCTTCGACCCCTGATCCTGGCTCCGGGGCTGGGCGGTGCACACAGTAGGCTTAGTCTCATTCTGGCTAATGGGCTGGGAAGCTCCAGAGTCCTGTGCATGGAGGGTCTGTGACAGCCAGGCCCAGCTCCTGGACTGGGAGTGCCTGGAGCCTCAGTGGTTGTTGGTGATGAAGACAGAGGAGTTGGTCAAGACCCAGCCCTGGATGGACGGACATGCAGGACTGGCGTGCACAGTCTCGCCCTGAGGATTTCCGTCGGTCCGCCCTCTTACTGCTCTTGCCGTGTGGCCTCTTGCTGTGTGGTCCCCACCGTGGCTGCGTGTGCAGCCGTAGAGCAGGTGACAGAGAGCAGGCATGGGAAGAAAGGCTGCGGCCCCAGGTCCTGCCCACAGCTAAGCTGATGACCTCAGCCAGTGCAGCAGAGCTCAGGAGAGGGAGGAGAGGGCCGCCGCGTCCCTGCTCTCCCGTAGCTGGCACTCGGCAGGACCTGTCCAGTGAGTTCCACACGTTAACGCACCCAGCACCTAGGGAGCGCCTGGCCACGGTGAGGCCAGAGTTGTGTAAAAGCTTCCCTGCGATTGTCAGTCAAGGCACACAGCGTTCTCCACCGTGGCACCCTCCAGAGGAACCTGGGGACGACTCATGGACCACCATGGCCGAGACTGCTTCATTTTGGACTCTCCTTTGCTGTTTGATTTTGTTTTTCTCCATGGCCAGGTATTACTTAAAATGGTTTCTTTTAATTAAGAAAAATCTAAAAATGAGACAGAATAGTTGTGTTCATTGATTGTATTCAACTTTCTATTGGAATTCCAATCAAACACAGCTGCAGCAAGGCAAGAAGTCACAGTGGAAGAGGTAGGGAGGAAGGCCAGGCCCGCAGACAGGCCGTGCGCCCCTAGGCTGCAGTGCAGGAGCTGAGGTGGCTCGCACTCAGAACCCCAGCACTTTGGGAGGCCGAGGTGGGCGGATCACCTCAGGTCAAGACCAGCCTGGACAACATGGTAGAATCCCGTCTCTACTAAAAATAGAAAAA